TACAAACATTTTACTTCAAATATTGCAGAGAAAAAGGCCAATGAATTATATTATTGTGAGTTATACAATTGCAGTGAAATACAATTTTCTCTAGCTTTATACAAAAGAAGTGTATATATTGTGTTTCTGTTTTTGTATAAAGAGAGAAAAACATATATCTTCTTGCTATACACTTATAATTATGCAAAATACATACATTTTAATTCGATTCAACTGTATGCAAAACAAATTATACAATTGCAGCGAAATAGGCCAGCGAATTATACAATTTAGGCCAGCGAATTATACAATTGTATATGTATAGCGAATTATACAGTTTTATGTTTGCTATGGAGCGCAATTATGCAAACTTTGCTATAGCATACAAATATGAATTTTTTGTTTGCTATATGTGAAAGTTGCCCTTAATTAAATATATTATTACTATTATAATACTCAAAACTCAAACTCAAAAATTAAAATACTTTCATTAAATATATTATTATTATTATAATACTCAAAACTCAAACTCGAAAGATAAAACAGAATAATGAAAGTCTAGTTAATACGAGTAACGAGAATGTGTTGTGACTGTACTTGTATTTATTAATAAAATAATAATATATATTACTCCACGAAGGACCACATTTTTTTTTTCTTCAAACAAAAATAAAATAAAATAATGAGGTCAGATTTGGGATCTGTAAATTTGACCAATAAAAGAAAATAAGCCATAAATACATAACACATCTTCTTCATTTTTCTCTATTTATAGAAGCTATAGAGGTTATAATAAATCTTTTTTTTTTTGTTTTTTGGGTAAAGATTTGATTTTTTTAAATTTTTTTTTGCATTTTCTATGGATAATAATAATAATAATATAAGCTGGTGGAGGAATTATGAAGGGATATTAAAGACTTTTTATCCTGTTTTTTTGGGTCAAGTTGTGTCTTTTGTTATGGCACTTATGAGCTTCACTTCTTCTCTAGTGGCTAATCTTGGTAAGTTTGTTTTTCTTGATTTTTACTTTTTGGGGTTGAAGTTGGTGGTAGGGGTGGGGGTGGGGTGGGGTATGGGTATTTTTTTTTCCAATTATTATGATTTATTTAGTAAAGATAAATGGGGTTTTGTTAATTAATGAATCTTGATATTTTGTGTGTTTTAATTTGTTTATTTAGTTTTGACTCGAAAACGGATTTTAAGAAATGAAATGAAAGATTGAATCTTGTTAACTTAAACTAAGCTCAAGTTAAGTAGTATATATTTAAATGTTGTTTAATTTTGTGGTTTTAAATGACACGTGGAAAGTTTTTGAAATTAAAAAGACGTAAAAATCGTAAAGATATAATTTTTTTTTTTAAAAGAAAGTACGACGAACAAATTGAAACTGAGGGAGTTACTGATAAGCATTTTGTTGATTATTTGTGTTTTTTTTTTTGCATTTGTATAGGTGCAAATACTCCACTTTCTCTGTCATTCTTCTCTTACACAGCTTTAGCTTTGGTGTATGGAGGAATCATGATTTACAGAAGGCAGAAATTACAGGTATTTTGTTACTTCTTTCCGTATTAATTTGTTTGTCTGGTTTTGATTCGGTTCTTAATTTAACAAAGTAAGTACTAATACTTTTGAATTTCGTGATTTTAAACTAAATATACTTAGAATGTACCAAAATTTTCTTTGATCTTGTAGTTTTAAGCATGTCCCATGACAATTTAGAATAAAAGAATTGCTAAAAAATAAGAAGATAAAGGTTTTCTTTTCGAGACCGACTAAAAAGGAAAGTAAGACAAACACGTTGAAACTGACGGAATATTATTCAAGAGTCTATTTTGATATTGCTTAAGTAATAAACATAGCTAACAATAACTAATATGCCCTCAATCAAAGGTGGGGCTAAAATTTTTAGTTTATGAGTTCTGGACTATAGTTATTTTTGCTTAGTGCGTCTTCGTTACATTATTTGTACATTTAACACAAAAACAAGGTTCGAACAAAAGTTACTGGATTCTGCTGAACTTGTAAGTCGTAACCATCATTGTGGCTCCGCTCCTTCCCTCAATCCCAGACTAGCTGGTTTTTGACTTCTTTCGACCATATTTCGATTGTTAATACGATATATAAGGACCGCTACTACAAAGAGTATTACACCCTTGATCGTGAAATATCGATTGCTTGGTGAACCCTTTTTGATATATAGTTGGATCAGTTCATTCCACTACACAATAATATTGACATTGATGAAACAAATTTGTAAACAACTCATTAGAATGTGTTGCATTGTTATACTATAGTAGTGAAAATAATTCATGAGTTTCGCTTTATTATAAGTAAAGTTTGTTTTTAGTTTTACGTAATGGTTATCGATTGAATATTGTCTTGTGTTTGTAGGTTCCTTGGTATTGGTATGCACTTCTAGGCTTAGCTGATGTCCAAGGAAATTTTCTTGGTAAGATGCTTCTCGGCTAAATGGACATTCTCGACTTGTTCCATACGAACTCTTGAACGTGAAGTGTCATCTATTCGTGCAATAGATACCGTTAAGTTTCCTTTTGTTTTATGAAATTCGAGGTTTGGAACTTAGTTTGGAGAAAGTTTAGTTTAACTAGTCCTCTGTATTGTGGTTGAAAATATGTGGTAGTAAAAGTTTTTCCATAGTAATTTCATGTCATTGTATGATTGTTAGAACTTTAATGTAAGTCACAAATTATCCACGATATGAAATTTAAATTCAGTTGAATGTATTGCAGTAAATAAAGCATATCAGTACTCATCAATCACCAGTGTGACCATACTGGATTGCTGGACTATAGCATGGGTGATAATCTTGACGTGGCTATTTTTGGGCACACGATATTCTCCGTGGCAATTCTTTGGTGCAGCAGTCTGTTTAGGTGGTCTTGGACTTGTGCTTCTATCTGATGCTAAGGCGAGTGACGGAAGTGGTACTTGTCTGATTCCTAAAATGATTTATTTAGGTCGTAAATGAAAAATGTTTCTCATTTTTGATTTCCTTGAGTTCTCGGAAGGACTTGTATTATGAGAGGAGTAGAGAGGGTGGATGGCGGAGAGAAGCTGATTGCCACTCCTAAGCGAGAATCACCTAATTAAGGAAATTGCTCATGGTTCGATCGTTTTCAAATGCAGGTGGTTCCAAACCTATTCTTGGTGATACATTTGTCATCATCGGGACATTTTTCTTCTCAATGAGTAATGTTGGTGAGGTTAGTGTAATTCGTCTCGTCATATTTTCAAGACATACACGAACAAACATTCAAACTTGGTCTCAGATCGTTAGTAAGCACTTCAACTTTGAGAGTGCACATCTAGAGATTTCAGTTTGTCTCCACTGTGTCAGTTGAACACTTCGAAGTGCTTACTTGCCGGTTGAGGCCAAGTTTGAGTGTGTGTTTATATATTACGTTTATTTTCAAATGTCTCCTTTCTACCAGAGTGTTCCTCATGTTTCTATAGAGAAATTTATGGTACGTTTAACTATAATTCACGTTGGTGCAGGAGTTCTGTGTGAAAAAGAAAGATCGTATTGAAGTGGTTTCCATGATTGGTGTTTTCGGCTTGCTTGTTACTATAATTGAGATGTATCCTTTCTATCTTAAAACTGTTCATTTCACATGCATTATGTACAATCTCAACACAAAGAAATCGCAACGAGCATAATTAATGACTTAACTTTCTCTCAGACCAATCTTAGAAAGGAAGAGTTTGGAATCAGTCAAGTGGTCTGCTGAGCTTGTAAGTGACTTAAAGTCGTCTTCTTATATTTGCTCCACTAATATTATTTTTTGTTTTCTGAAAAATGATTTTCTTGGGCTGATGGTCTATCGGAAACAAGCTCCTTACCTCCACGAGGTAGGGATATGATCATCGTACTGCTCTTTAGTTTTTGTGTTACTTGCTAAACATTAAGTATTGTAGTAAAAATCTTCATTCCAAGTGCTGGATAGTCTAGAAACTTGAATAAATTTGAGAAGTTGGTCTATAAGTCTTCATCGCTAACCAGAGCTCGTAAATAGTTAAAAATATGAAATACTGGAAAAGATTCGGGTCATAACTTGTAAGTTAAGCAGTGAAAGAAATGCCTTAGTTCAACATGAAAATCTTTTTTCAGATATTAGCCTTCTGTGGCTATGCAGTGGCAAGCTTTATGTTCTACACCTTTGTTCCGTTTCTTCTCGAGGTAAACCACTCACTCTCCATCCACTGAATTTAGCATAGTGGATGTGTATTTGTTGTGGAATATTTGGTTAATCGTAGTAAAGTAAGGCACGAGTAATTCAAATGCAGATGAGTGGCTCAACGTTGTTCAATCTATCTCTTCTCACATCCGATGTGTGGGCAGTTGTCATCAGAACCTTTTTCTACAAGCAAAAGGTACTTTTTATCAACGAATTTTGATGGTTTCCGCCACACTTGCAACTCTCAGTGTGCTGATCACTCTTAATTGAAAATTGCAGGTTGAATGGTTATACTTTGCAGCTTTTGCACTTGTGGTTACTGGACTGATCATATACTCGAAAACGTATGTTCATGCTCTTTAAATTCGTTATCTTATCATTGATTATGAATCGTAAATGCATGGATGTGATGTTTTTTACTCCAAGTCCATGTTTTCCCAAGAAGAAATTAGAAAATCGCACCCAAGGGTGTCATCTAGCTGTCAATAAAATGAGTAATAACCTTAGAGACCTATTTCAAATCCCAACAGAGACAAAAGAAAACGTTATTTGACCTCTTCATATCCCATCAGCCAAAGCTTTGGCGGACACAATTACTTGTACTTATGTAGGTATTTGTGAAATAGTCGAGGTATGTGCAATTTAAGAGCAGTAACTGCTATAGCTAGTTGAAGGATGAAAAATTTACAGACACGCGTAATCAGATATTCTACTGTCTCTTGCAATAAAATTCATCATTGTTGTTGCTAATACGACTTGTTTTGTTCATCAACAGTGAGAAGGATTCTGTAAATGCACCAGCTACTAATATTGAAGAAGCAAATCAAAGATACCAACTTCTTAATGAAGAGGAAGAGCAAGCTGATCATAGACATCATGAAACTATTTCATAACTAGTTTTATAAATCAAGATTCATTGAGAATTACATGTAATTTACATATTATTGTTCTTCTGAAATTGTTCAACATCTATATAATTGGAGTTCAACTTTTTTCCCATCTCGTTGTTTCCATTTGTCTGTCTAGTCTTGACTTAACACGCAATTTAAGAAAGTAGAGCAGACTAGTCAAAATGTCCTTTAATCTTGTGGAAAGTTGAGATTAATGAGTTGTCATAAAAGGAAAAATACATTTGATCTGAAACGAACTAAAAAGAGAGTAGAACAAAAGAAATTGAAATGGAGGGAGTACTATTTATCGCTTGATCAACGTGTCTACTTGTTGTTTCATAACTCTACAACTAAGATGCAAATATAAGCAAATTAAGTGTTACAATTGTTGAGAATACGATTAAATAATAAAAGTGTGCTCTCTCTAACAGCTTAAACTTTTAGATGAAATGATGTTCGAAAATGAACTATGATTTTCACCAGAGAATAAGCAAAGCTTATGAGGGCCCTAACAAAATTTCTTTTACTGATTTTTCTATTAATATATTCTTGTCTGATCAGATTTGGGATCTGTGACAGTGACCATAAATACCACAAACAAATCACATTTTTTCCTTTTTATCTGTTTTCTGTATTATAGTTGAAGTTTCCATTAATAATTGCTATTTTCTGTCGCTTTTTCTTATAAAGTTTTGATTTTTTTTAGCCATGAGTAGCAGCAGCTGGTGGAGGAATCATGAAGGAATATTGACAACTTTTTACCCTTTGTTTTTAGGTCAAGTAGTGTCTTTTGTTAGAGCTCTCATTAGCTTTGCTTCTTCCCTAGTGGCAAATCTTGGTTAGTTTGGACTTTTTTTGGATTATGAGTGATTTATTTGTTAAAGAATCTTGATATATTAGAAGCATTTTGTTGATTATTTGTGTTTTTTTGCATTTGTTTAGGTGTAAATACTCCACTTTCTCTGTCATTCTTCACTTACACAGCTTTAGCTTTGGTGTATGGAGGAATCATGATATACAGAAGGCAGAAATTGCAGGTAATTTGCTACCATTTGGCCATAGATTTTCGAAGTTGTGTTAGCAAACAATGCCACTTTATTAAGTGAATTGACATTTTCACTAGTCAGAACAAGTTTGTGAACAAAAAATTGTTTGTTCTTGTGGTATAATTGTGGATTTTGTTGAATGCTGTTTTTCAGACTTTTCTCTATTTTCATATTGTAACAATGTACCGTTAGCAAAATGATTTCGGAGTATCAGTTTATTAAGTGTATTTGGTTTGATAGTTATACATGATGGTTATCAATTGAATGTTCGTTGTCTCGACTTTGCAGATTCGTTGGTATTGGTATGCTCTTATAGGCTTTGCTGATGTCCAGGGAAGTTTTCTTGGTAAGAGGCTTCTCCGATAAATGGATATTCTCTGCATCAGAGCTAGTCGTGCACTGAATGAACTCGTTTTCATTACTTCTGTTGAATTTATTGCAGTAAATAAAGCATTTCAGTACTCATCAATCACTAGTGTGACCATACTAGATTGCTGGACTATAGCTTGGGTGATGATTTTGACGTGGCTATTTTTAGGCACACGATATTCTCCGTGGCAATTCTTTGGTGCAGCAGTCTGTTTAGGTGGCCTTGGACTTGTGCTTGTATCAGATGCTAAGGCGAGTGATGGAAGTGGTACTTGTCTGTTTAATTCCTAAACGTTTATTTAGATCGTAAATGGTAAAATGTTTCTTATCATCTAATCTTTCTTTGAGTTCTCGAAAGGACGAGGAATGGAAAGGGTGGAAGGAAATTGTTTAGTTTGCTTATGCTTCGTTCATTTTCAATAGCAGGCGGTTCCAAACCTATTCTCGGTGATATATTTGTCATCATAGCGACATTTTTCTTCTCAATGAGTAATGTTGGTGAGGTTAGTATATTTTGTCTCTTCATATTTTCAACGCGTGATACATAAACAGACACAGTTCATACCTAGACACCTCAACTCGTCTCTACTGATAAATATTAGCTTTGGTGCAGGAGTTCTGTGTGAAAAAGAAAGATCACGTTGAAGTGGTTTCCATGATTGGTCTTTTCGGCTTGCTTGTTACTATAATCGAGATGTATACTCTCTACCTAAAAGTTGTTCTTTCACATTCATTTCTCATAGCCGCGGAACCTTGAAATGTAAAGTTACTCATTTTTTTAACTTTCTCTCAGACCGATCTTTGAAAGGAAGAGTCTGAAGTCAGTCAAGTGGTCTGCAGAGCTTGTAAGTGACTTAGATTCGTTGTCTTATTTACGCTCCTCTAATATCGGTGTTTATCTCTCATTTTTCAGATAGTAGCCTTCTGTGGCTATGCAGCAGCAAGCTTTATGTTCTACACCTTAGTTCCGTTTCTTCTCAAGGTAAAACGCTCACTCTTCATAGTTCCATCCACTGAATTAGCATAGTAGGGATCTGTATTTGTTGTCGGATATTTGGTTAATCGTAGTAAAAGTAAGACACGAGTAACTCAAATGCAGATGAGCGGCTCAACGTTGTTCAATCTATCTCTTCTCACATCTGATGTGTGGGCAGTTGCCATTAGAACCTTTTTCTACAAGCAAAAGGTATTCTTTTCCCTGTATTCAACGATCGCGACACTTGCAGCTCTCACTGTGCTGAGCATTCCTAATTGAAAAATTGCAGGTTGAATGGCTGTTTTTTTTAGCTTTTGGACTAGTGGTTACTGGGCTGATCATATACTCGAAAACGTGTGTTCGTGTTCGTTGAATTCCTTATCTTTATTGTATGAACTCTCTTTCTGTCATGTTAGACAAGAACGAGGTAAAATAACATATTGTCACCTAGCGGTCAATGAAGTGGACGATAACCTTAGGAGGTTGGAAAGCTTGCGAAACGCCTAGTTAATTCGTTTTTTCGCCAATCGAAACTGTCTTTTGCAATGAAAAGTAGTCATTGGATTGCTAATATTACTTGTTTGTTGATGAACAGTGAGAAGGATCATGTAAATGCATCAGCTACTATTGAAGAAGCAAACAATGAAGCTGATCAAAGGTACCAACTTGTCAATGAAGATGGAGAGACATGAAGGTAGTTGTATAATCGAGATTACGTTTCGCTTCACGAGAATCAATTTGATTGAATACTAAAACTTGCAATTTGGCTCTCGAGAAGTGTAACATGACAAGTAAAAAGTGAACAGAGAGGGAATATGTAATTATTAAATTGCAAACCAGTTATTATGTATCGAACCTTCTCTTTAAAATTCAAAGTGGATATCCCTGCGCGAATCTCAGCAATTACTTGTTCTGATTCTACGTATTGATCGTTTTGAACTAAAAGCAAACTTTTGGGTGGAATATTCACATTATGTAGAATATCTTCACTCTCAATAGTTACATACAAGTCTATAGAACATAGAAAGGCGGGATGCCCATGACGTGTACGTGTCGAA